GAGAGCCGAGTATCCTAACCAACTAGACTATAAAGAAATTTCCCATCGGTCGGTTGTTATGATTTTATTTTTTTTATTTTTCCAAGGTAGATTGACAAGGCACTGCCGATGGTTCGTTTTCGTAAAAAAGAAATAACAAACGAAAAACTAAAATTCCGTTGCTGGGACTTGAACCCAAGTCTCTCAAATGATAGTCGAGAATCCTAACCAACTAGACTACAACAAAATTGCATATCAATTGGTTGTTATGATTTTATTTTTTTTTATTTTTTCAAGGTAGATTGACAAGGCACTGCCCATGGTTCGTTTTCGTAAAAGAGAAATAACAAACAAAAAACTCAAATTTCATTGCCGGGACTTGAACCCGGGTCTCTCGAGTGAGAGTCGAGTATCCTAACCAACTAGACAAGAACAAAATTACACATCAATTGATTGTTATGATTTTATTTTATTTTTTATTTTTCCAAGGTAGATTGACAAGGCATTGCCGATGGTTCGTTTTCGTAAAAGAGAAATAACAAACGAAAAACTCAAATTTCGCTGCTGGGACGTGAACCTGGGTCTCTCGGGTGAGAGCTGAATATCATGACCAACTAGACTACGACAGAATTACCCATCGGTCGGTTGTTATGATTTTATTTTTTTTACTTTTCCAAGGTAGATTGACAAGGCACTTCCGATGGTTCGTTTTCGTAAAAAAGAAATAACAAACGAAAAACTCAAATTCCATTGCTGGGACTTGAACCCGGGTCTCTCGGGCGAGAGCCGAGTATCCAAACAAACTAGACTACAATGAAATTGCTCATCAATCGGTTGTTATGATTTTATTTTTTTTATTTTTCCAAGGTTGATTTGCCCATCGGTCGGTTGTTATGATTTTATTTTTTTTTATTTTTCCAAGGTAGATTCACAAGGCACTGCCGAAGGTTCATTTTCGTGAAACGGACCTGAAGCTGGGTCTCTCGGGTGAGAGCCGAGTATCCTAACCAACTAGACTACAACGGAATTGCCCATCGGTCAGTTGTTATGATTTTATTTTTTTTTTATTTTTCCAAGGTAGATTCACAAGGCACTGCCGAAGGTTCATTTTCGTGAAAGGGACTTGAAGCTGGGTCTCTCGGGTGAGAGCCGAGTATCCTAACCAACTAGACTACAACGGAATTGCCTATTGGTCGGTTGTTATGATTTTATTTTTTTTATTTTTCCAAGGTAGATTGATAAGGCACTGCCGATGGTTCGTTTTCGTAAAAAAGAAATAACAAACGAAAAACTAAAATTCCGTTGCTGGGAGTTGAACTCGAGTCTCTCAAGTGATAGTCGAGAATCCTAACAAACAAGACTACAATAGAATTGCACATCGATCAGTTGTTATGATTTTATATTTTTTTATTTTTCCAAGGTAGATTGACAAGTCACTGCCGATGGTTCGTTTTCGTAAAAGAGAAATAACAAACGAAAACTCCAATTTCATTGGAAAGAGAAATAACAAACGAAAAACTCAAATTCCGTTGCCGAGACTTGAACCCAGGTCTCTCGGGTGAGAGCCGAGTATCCTAACCAACTAGACTACAATGGAATTGCCCATCGGTTGGTTGTTATGATTTTATTTTTTTTATTTTTCCAAGGAAGATTGACAAGGCACTTCCGTTGGTTCGTTTTCGTAAAAGAGAAATAACAAACGAAAAACTCAAATTCCGTTGCCGGGACTTGAACCCGGGTCTCTCGGGTGAGAGCCGAGTATCCTAACCAACTAGACTACAACGGAATTGCCCATCGGTCAGTTGTTATGATTTTATTTTTTTTATTTTTCCAAGGAAGATTGACAAGGCACTTCCGTTTGTTCGTTTTCGTAAAACAGAAATAACAAACGAAATACTCAAATTCCGTTGCCGGGACTTGAACCCAGGTCTCTCGGGTGAGAGCCAAGTATCCTAACCAACTAGACTACAACAGAATTGCCCATCGGTCGGTTGTTATGATTTTATTTTTTTTATTTTTCCAAGGAAGATTGACAAGGCACTTCCGTTGGTTCGTTTTCGTAAAACAGAAATAACAAACGAAAAACTCAAATTCCGTTGCCGGGACTTGAACCCGAGTCTCTCGGGTGAGAGCCGAGTATCCTATCCAACTAGACTACAACGGAATTGCCCATTGGTCGGTTGTTATGATTTTATTTTTTTTATTTTTCCAAGGTAGATTGACAAGGCACTGCCGATGGTTCGTTTTCGTAAAAGAGAAATAACAAACGAAAAACTCAAATTCCGTTGCCGGGACTTGAACCCGGGTCTCTCGGGTGAGAGCCGAGTATCCTAACCAACTAGACTACGACGGAATTGCCCTTCGGTCGGTTGTTATGATTTTATTTTTTTTATTTTCCCAAGGTAGATTGACAAGGCACTGCCGATGGTTCGTTTTCTTAAAAGAGAAATAACAAACGAAAAACTCAAATTCCGTTGCCGGGACTTGAACCCGGGTCTCTCGGGTGAGAGCCGAGTATCCTAAC